AGCGGATTGCACCGTTTATATGCTTTCCCATATGATTGGAGCAACTAGCATCCATACTGCAAAACACAAAATTTTCCTTTCAGTCATGACGAGATTTTCGTTAGAGCGCATTCAATTTTGTTTAGCATTATATACTCACAATACACGCAGACCGCGATCCACTCGTTCACAATCCTCACCCAAGTGCTGGCCCATCCCACTGTTAAAACCAAGTGTTTATCGAATGAGACCTTTTCAAACTGGGAGGAGATTCGCTTAACCTTTATCAAAAACAAACCGGCTATATATAAGCCTTACATCACTGAAAGATAAATATGCAACCCACGTTAAACACTTAACCTAAACATGGAATATGACTAAGTCTGAAAGAAACCAACTTCTACTGATCCCTAAATTCAAGGGCTTATTTAGCCATGCAGTAAAAACTGCTTACATGAACAAACCTAAGTTTACGTAGTGGATAGAACCACTACTTTCAACAAACTTAATAATCTAACATCCTCCCTTAAACTGATTGCTAAGCAATCAGTTTATACCTAGTTCCAGACACACTCCCATAAGCTCACGCATCTTCAGAAAGGTATCAGTCTTCAAAGGCTTGGTTAATATGTCTACTATTTATTCTTGAGTGTTGCAATGAACCAGCTGCACAATGTTATCCTTAGTCAGATCACGAAGAAAGTGGAAACATACATCTATGTGTTTGCTTCGACCATGCATTACAGGATTCCTGGAGAGCTTTATTCCTGAGCTATTGTCACAGAAAATCGTTGTAGAATCTTGCTGAGCTTGACCTAACTCCTTCATTATCTTTCTCAACCAGGTTGCCTGACAAGCACATGAAGCTGCTGCTATGAATTCGGCTTCAGTTGTTGATAACGTAACCACAGGTTGCTTCTTGGAAGACCAACACACAGCTCTTGAACTTAACATGAACAAATACCCCGATGTGCTCTTTCTATCCTCTAAGTCACCTGCATAATCACTATCTGAGTAACCTCTGAGCTCAACATGTCCTCCTTTTTTGTAAAGAATTCCAAGGCTGATCGTGCCTTTTAAATACCTCAAAACCCTTTTTGCCCCTGCCAAATGCATTTCTGTTGGACACTCCATAAATCTGCTAATTAAGCTTACCACGAACATAGTGTCAGGCCGAGTGGCTGTGAGATGCATGAGGCTCCCCACGATCTGTTTGTAGAAAGTGTTGTCGACCTTCTCACCAGTCACATCATTCGTTAGCTTGGTACCTGGAACAATAGGATTGTGCACTGGATTGCAGTTTTCCATTTTAAATATTTCCAACACTTCCTGAGCATATTTTTTTTGGCAAATAAATATTCCATCTACCTGCTGCAATACTTCAATTCCAAGGAAGTACCTCATCTTACCAAGATCGGTCATTTCAAACTCATTCATCATCGACTGCTTAAACTTAGTGAACATGCATTCATCATTGCCAGTATAAATGAGATCATCAACGTAAAGACAAACAATGAGAATTTTACCTCCATCTCTAGTTTTGATGAATAAAGTGTGTTCATAGGGACACTTCACAAACTCTTCCTTCAAGAAATAAGCTTCTATACGACTATACCAAGCACAAGGGGCTTGTTTAAGTCCATATAAAGCTTTCCTTAATTTGTAAACTTTATGCTCCTTACCTCTCTGCACATACCCATGTGGCTGTTCTACAAACACTTCTTCATTAATTTCTCCATGTAAGAAGGCACTTTTCACGTCCAATTGATGAATTGTCCATTCCATTTGCACAACAAGTGCAATTACAACCCGAATGGTATCTAACCTAGCCACATGAGCAAATACTTCAGCATAATCGACCCCATATTCTTGAGCATACCCTTTAGCCACAAGCCAAGCTTTGTACTTGTCCACCTCTCCATTCTCATTCAGTTTAGTCTTGTAAACCCATTTAACTCCGATCATCTTCCCACCTTGAGGTAAATCTGTCAATTCCCAAATGTTGTTCCTCTCGATAGCTGCTATTTCGACATCCATAGCTTTCCTCCATTTAACACTTTTCACAGCTTCATTTTAATGCATTGGATCACTGTCTTCTAAAAGAGCCAAGTGCACCATGTCTTCTTCTTCAGATAATCCCTCTCCCGTTACGTAATCTCTCATCCACACCGGCGGAGCCTTAGGCCTTTTTTCTTCTGGACTTGATAAACTTGCTTCTGAGACTTCATCTGATCCACTATTGTTGCTTGTGTCATTTTCATTTCCATTGGATCCATCTTCATCTTCTCCTTGACTATTAACTTCATCAGCTTCAATTGCTTTATCTTCATCATCATCCCATTCCAAATCTGCTATGACAGCTTCATGGTGATGCTCATCCCAATCCCAACTACTATTCTCATCAAATCTAACATCACAACTGATTATGATCCTCTGTGAAACTGGATCAAATAGCCGATAGGCCTTCGATCATTCGCTAACTCCAAGCAGCATACACTTCATACTTTTATCATCTAGCTTGGTCTTCTTATTGTCTGGAATATGTACGTATGAAATGCATCCAAAAACCCTGAAATAACTTACTGACGGTATTGTACCACTCCATGCCTCCTCAGGTGTTTTGTTTTTTTACTGCAAATATGGGACTTCTGTTGAGCACATGAACTGTCCAGTTTGCTGCTTCAGGCCAAAAAGTCTTTGGCATCTTCTTCTCGGTTAATAAGCTTCGAACCATGTTCATGATGGTCCAATTCTTACGCTCAGTTACTCCGTTTTGCTGCGGGGTGTAAGCTGCTGTCAGTTGTCGTTAGATCCTATTCTCAACACAAAACTCAACAAACTCGTAAGATGTAAACTCCCATCCACGATCCGTGCGCAAACTTCTAATACTTGCATCAGTTTCTTTCTCCACAAGACTTTTGAAAGCTTTAAAGGTTCGAAAGGCTTCTGACTTCTCAATTAAAAAATAGATCCAAGTCTTACGACTAAAATCATCAATAAAGGTGAGTAGATACCTCTTCTTACTATTGGATGTAGGCTTTATTGGTCCACATATATCTGCATGAACGAGTTGTAGAATTTGACAAGCTCTACAAGTACTCCTTTTTGGAAAAATGATCTCTCGATTGCTTGCCTACCAAGCAATTCTCACATACTCTTGACGAGTCCTTTATCTGAGGTAGTCCATTCACCATCTGCTTCTGTTGTAGAGTCTTTAAGCCACCAAGACTCAAGTGCCCATATCGGCAATGCCACAATTGAACTGGATCATCTGTGAGAACATTGAAACATGCCTGGACATTGAGTTGATACTGAGCAACAAGAATGAACGTGTGGTTTGCAGCCATAACAGTCTCTATGATCAGTCCTCTTTTAGGGTGATAGATCTTGCACCTCCCGTGTTGAATGAGAATAGAAAGACCTCTCTCCTGAAGTTGACCAATACTTAGAAGATTATTCCTTAAAGCAGGCACATAGAAAACTCCCGTGATCACCTGAGTCATTCCATTCACTTGTAGTCGAATGTTTCCTTTCCCCAAAACAGCCATACTAGTATTGTTCCCTAGTTTCACAGTTTCTCTAAAACTTCCATCAAAATCAGAAAATAACTCTCTCTTACCACACATATGATTGCTGCAACCCGAGTCGAGGAACCAAATGTCTTCTTTAATCTCCTGAGTATCCGTGTACACCATTAGCAACATCTCTTCACTAGCTTCTGCATAGTTGGCCTTTGCTTCCTTGTCTTTCTTAGGACACTCATACTGATAGTGCCCTAATTCATGACAATTATAGCACTCAATTGTTGACTTGTCGAAGTTTTGTCGACCTCTTCCTCTACCTCTTCCACGATAGCTTCCTCGACCACATCCTCTTCCTCCAAAATTCTCTTCATAGGCCACCTTTAGTGCTTGCTCCTCCACAACATGTCCAATCATCCGTTGCTCATGCATTAACAAACTGCTTTGCAGTTCATCAATTGAGAGAATGTCTAAATCTTTGGATTCCTCAATTGAACAAACCACATAGTCATATTTAGGAGTCATCGATCTCAAGATCTTCTCAATGACTTCTACATCTATCAATTTGTCACCATTAATCCTTCTCTTGTTGGCTATGGTCAGAGTTTGACCAAAAAACTCATTCACAGTTTCTCCTGTCTTCATGTGAAGCATCTCAAACTCCTTTTGAAGTGCCTGCAACTGTGCTCGCTTGACTCGAGCAGTCCCTTGATACTTCTGCTTCAACGAATCCCAAATCTCCTTAGCCGTATCCTTGTTCAAGATTGTTTCCAAAACAGCTCGATCAATTGCTTGAAACAAGTAGTTCTTAGCCTTTAGATCCTTCAACTTTTGATCTTCGAGCACTTTCCGTTGCCCCTCCGAGGATTGAGCTCCTTCTGCTGCTGCAGGGATTCCATGCTCCACAAGACCCCAATATTCCTTTGAACGTAGGAAGTTTTCCATAAGCATCGCCCAGTGGTCATAATGCCCATCCAGTTTTGGAATGGATGCTTGCACAAAGTCACTTCCTTCTCCTACCATATTCTCGTACCTCTTCACTCAAAAGATTGCTATCTCTCAAGCTTTGCTCAGGAGCCTCAGGTTGGGGCTCTGATACCAAATGTTAAAACCAAGTGTTTATCGAATGAGATATTTTCAAACTGGGAGGAGATTCGCTTAACCTTTATCAAAAACAAACCGGCTATATATAAGCATTACATCACTGAAAGATAAACATGCAACCCATGTTAAACACTTAACCTAAACGTGGTATATGACTAAGTCTGAAAGAAACCAACTTCTACTGATCCCTAAATTCTAGGGCTTATTTAGCCATGCAGTTAAAATTGCTTACATGAACAATCCTAAGTTTACGTAGTGGATAGAACCACTACTTTCAACAAACTTAATAATCTAACACCCACATCAATCGTAAACCTGCAGAATGAAGTGACTTGTTGAGCAAGCAAGAAAGAACGGAGTTCAGTTTTAATTCACAAACAAGGTGGTGAAAAATACCTTCTCATGGATTGATGAGTATTCCAACCAATCAGCAGCATTCCAAAGTACATTGCTCCCGTGGCGAAAACAAAATGGAAGAATCCATAACCGTATGGAACATCATCCTCGGATTCAGTCTCGTCCTTCCTGAACTGCAGATGATGTCAGGCGCATTCTAAAGGAAACATAGATGATTGATTAAAAGTTATTCAGACGGTAGAGCAAACCTGAAAGCATTTGGAATCTATGCCAGTTGAGAATGTTGCGATAACCATTGCAAGCACGGCTATAACAAAGCTCTGTCAACAAATAAGTCATTGTCATGATTTCGTGTAGAGAAAAGAGATATCTGTGTGCAATATTAAGAGTAGAGTATTACTATGATCGTGAGCCAATCTGTTTTGGTTGAATCATCTGCCTTCTTGTTGCAGCTTGTCCCCGCTGGCTCACTGCACTCGAAAGCAACAATTATGGATCAACGGAATTCACAAATATACCAGAGTCGCACGTTTAGATTTTCATATGAAGCTAGTGATCAACTGGATGATTGATTTTGAAAGATTATGCAACAATGCCAGATAACATCTGCAAAATCTCAAATTGAACTAACGGAAGGTGGTTCACACAGAAGAGACTTAAAACCGTACCTTCTAATAGCAAACCAGCAGATGAATACTATATAAAGCCCCATGAGACCCGGAGTCAAGATGCCGGCATTCACCTGTTCCGGGTGGAAATTAACAAGCAAAATCACATTAAAACAAGGCTGAAGCCCCTAATGCAGGGTGATTAGAGGAACTTACTTTCGGGTGGAGAGAGACGCTGGTCATGAGTTGTAGGAGTACTAATGTCCAGGTTATGAAGAAGATGTTGAGGAGGCAAGTTGGTTCTGGTGCATACCATATGTACATCAATATGATCCCCACTAAGCACACAACATATGCAGCAGTTGCAAGTAACATCACATGAATCCGGCTGCAGTGCAAACCTAAATTTAAATTAGCCCGAAAATCTGAGCAACTATATGGCTAGTAGCTACATTGAATGCTTCCAACGTCTACGAAAAATGGAGATCCGACTTAGTTTAAACGAAGTCTTACCATCTTTCTGATTTGATAACTTCAGGGCCCTACATGGTGCAACAAGTTCCGAGCAGCGTGCCACCTTCCGGGTAACCATAATCTTGAGTTTTTCTATTTTTCATTTACTTTTCACTTAGCATTGGATAACACGGAACATCTAAAATAAGTAGGTGCTCCGAGTTTTCTTCCGTATGGTTCTTCTACTTTACTAGCTGTCCTCCTAAAACTTTCTTGCATTTCTGAATATAAATTCTGCATGTATTCAGTCCCCACAGTATAAATATGTATTTTGACGAGATAATTTGTTGATTGCAGTTTCCTAATGTATTCGTCATACTTGTAGGTATCAAGGGGCAGGAGGCTTTGGCACCGGTGGGGCTTCTTTTGGTTCGTTAAATGTGGATCAACAGCTGGCAGGTAGATTCTCAGCGCCTGCTCCCCCAAATCCTTTCCCTTCAGCCGGAGGAAATCCATTTGGGTAGATGAAAAAAAACACAAGATGTCTCCAATCCCATTTAGGGAAAGCATCAACTTGCGGCTGCTGCACGTCAAATTGCTGGATGGAAGGTTTAGGTTTCGATCTCCTCTAGTTTTCAAGTTATCCGATGCAGCCTAATGCGAGATTGTTTTATTGGATCATCACCGGGGGTCGGTCGCAAGTCAAAAGGTCGACTTCCCCGTCATGTACAATTTGTTTGTTGTTTGTAAGAAAGTGAGTGAGAGAGAGAGAGTGAGAGAGAGCGTATATAGTTAAAAGGGAGATTACGTTGTAGAGTTTTATTTTGTTTTTGTTTTTATTTTCCCTTTTGATTTTCGTCGCCTACTTTGTTGTATGATTTTGCAATCACATTATTATGTTGTGAGTTGATTGAGTCTAAGGAAGTTGGTGGAACAGTAACAATGATTTTACAAAAGGGTCCTCATGATGTGGATGCAGAGAATAGTAAAATAAGACCTTTAAATCTGCAAAATCGTCGTCCTTCGCGCGACGCTGGGCCACTTCATAACGAAGTTATTCATTGATATCTGTAGCAACCGTCCGGTCCAGGTCGGGTCCTGTTGTCTCAGTATTTTTAACCCGCTCCTAATTGCGTAGTCCCGGCCTGATCCGCGGGTTTAGGCCATATCTAACCGAGGGGTTCAGAGGGCCAGAGGGCCGAAAATAGCCCTAAAACCGTCTCCAACCGAGGGCTAGGCCAGAGGGCTCTGGAATCTGGGAGGGCCCCACGGGATCGGAGAGGGCTGGAGGGCTGGCTATTTTTTTTTTAATGTTTCCTATTGCTGTCGGTTATAACCGACAGCATTAAAGAGTTTTTTTTTTTAATAGTTCTACTATTAGTGTCGGTTATAACCGACACTAATAGTTTGAAATGTTTTTTAATATAACGGCTAGCTGAGTCAGCTAGCCGTTGCAACTAGCCGTTGGTTTTTTTTATTTTTTATTTTTTATTTTTTTATTTTAAACATTTTTTTCTTCTATAAATATGGTGAAGTTCTTTCAATTCTTCACTTCATTTGCAATATTTCCTTCTTCAATATTTTTCAATATTTCTTAATATTTCCTTCAATATATTTCCTAATATTTCCTTCATCTATAATATTTGTTTCAATTTTTCAATATTTCCTTCAATATATTTTCGAATATTTCCTTCATCTATAATATTTCTTCACTTCATTTGCAATATTTCCTTCATTTTTTTTCAAAAAAAATGGCCTCATTTGCAATGAAAGGTAGGGCTTGGACCCGAAAAGAAGATGAAGCTCTTTGCAAGGCTTATAGATGGATCTCAGAAGATAGTGTGAGGGGGATTTCTCAAACAAGTGAAGGTGTTTGGACTCGTGTGTCCAAAAAATACTTAGAGTTCTACGAAGGCACCATTCCACCGAATACTCAAAACCACGAAAGTTGTTCTTCAAGATGGAAGAAACATCTTCATCCAAGTTTGAATAAATGGCATCAAGCACTATTAGCAGCAGCAAGTAGACATGAAAGCGGCGCCAATTACTATGACGAGGTTAGTGTTTTTACAGTTTATTTTAAATGTTTAATTATATTACATTAATTTCGTGAATTAATTTCCTAAATTTTTTTTAATTATATTTTCTAGGTACGCCAAGCGGAGGAATTGTATATGGAGGGCAACTCAAAACCCTTTCAGTTTCACGGTTGTTGGGAAATTTGTAAAGGGTGGGTGTTATTTGAAGATCCACCTCAACATAGAGTGGATCCTTTGGAAGCTGCATCCCCATCTGTAGATATGAATGAAGATGGATCTCCTACCATTCAACAAACAAGGGTAGAAAATCCGACTCCGTCCGAAAGTTCTTTACCTAGGGCTATGGGACGAAACAAGGCTCGAAGGTTGATGGAAAAGGACAAGGCAAATGCTGATTACGCCGCTCAACATGAAGTGGCGGCCTCATTTCGATTACTGGCGGAGCAAAATGCCCGTGAGGCGGAAGAAAGGAAGTGTAGACATGAAGAGCGAGCCAAACAAATACAAGAAGAGATGGATGATAAGAATATGGAAAGGAACACTTCGAATTACACTCCAATGAGTAAGGCCTATTTTGATAGGAAAAAAAAAGAAATTATGGCTCGGCGGCAATTGTTTACCTCTGACTATACTCCTACAATGGCGGATGATGAAGATGATATTGATTATGGATATTAAATTTAAGTCGTTGTAATTTTTAAATTTAAGTTAATGTTGTTTTTAAATTTAATTTGTAGTGTTTAAATATAAGTTGTTGTTTTTAAATTTAAGTTGTTGTAGTTTTTAAATTTAAATAATAAATTATGTTTGGCCCTATGGCCCTTTGGCCCTCGGTTGGAGACGGTTTTTTGTGACAGGGCTAAAACGAGCCCTCTGGCCCTCTGGCGCTCGGTTGGAGACGGAGGCAAATATGGCCTTGTACTGTTCATTAAAATATTAATATCTTGGGGAATCTTGGAGGGCCAGAGGGCTCAAACGAGCCCTCTGGCCAGCCCTCGGTTAGAGATGGCCTCCAAGATTCCCCAAGATATTAATATTTTAATGAACAGTACAGGGCCATATTTGCCTCCGTCTCCAACCGAGGGCCAGAGGGCCAAAGGGCTCGTTTTAGCCCTGTCAAAAAAAAACCGTCTCCAACCGAGGGCCAAAGGGCCATAGGGCCAAACATAATTTATTATTTAAAAACTACAACTTAATTTTATTTAAAAATCATGTTGGTTAGTGTTGTATAATTTTTATGTCGGTTAATGTTATTTAATGTTGTTTCATATTGTTTAATGTTGTTTCATGTTACTTAATTTAATTTAATGTTGTATAATGGCTTAGGAAGTTATAGGAAAAAAATAGAATTTAAAAAAAAAATAAAACAAATTTTGTGAAATAGAAGTTATAGGAAAAAATGGAATTTAAAAAAAAATATGAAACAAATTTTGTAAAATAGAAGTTATATGAAAAAAATATGAACCAAATTTTGTAAAATATAAGTTATAGGAAAAAAATAGAATTAAAAAAAAATTGAAACAAATTTTGTAAAATAGAAGTTATAGGAAGTTATAGAAAAAAAAAGAAAAAAAAAGGTTTAAATTCATAAAAAAAAAAAAAAAAGGATTTACAACGGCTAGTGGCGCTAGCCGTTGGAAGTTTGAATTCAAAATGTTATTTCTGTCGGTTGTAACCGACAGAAATAAGAAACATTAAAAAAAAAATAGCCAGCCCGGGGTTGGCTGGCTGGCCGAAAGCAGCCAGCCCTCCAGCCCTCTCCGATCCCGTGGGGCCCTCCCAGATTCCCGAGCCCTCTGGCCTAGCCCTCGGTTGGAGACGGTTTTAGGGCTATTTTCGGCCCTCTGGCCCTCTTGACCCTTCGGTTGGAGATGGCCTTAGGGGCCATTTGCCTACCCTTGTAAATTGTTAGGGGTGTAACTCGGGCGGGTTGAAAGGTCAGCTCAATCCTAACTCAACTTTTAGAATTTTGGCTCGGGCTCGGGTTGGTTTCATTCAGGTTCATTTGGGCTTGGGTTTAATTGGGTTAGGGTTGAGTTTGGGTTGCTCAACTTTTTCAAGTTTAATCTTGTACCAACTTAGTTTTCAAGAATTCCTAAAAAAATTAAGCTAAGTAGCATCAAAACTAGCTAACTTTAATTTCATAAAGCAATCAAAGTTGTTGAGCAATTGCTTCGAGACACAAAGAATTTAGGTTTTGGAGACTAACAATCTACTATAAAGCTTTAGGATTTAGAGACTACGAATATTAGCTAACTAATCAAAGTCTCTTATTCCTTAAAAGCTTACTTAATTATAAAGGGTAATTTATTAAAAAAATAGAGTTTTTATCACAAATGGTCCCTGACATTGATCAAACACATCATTTTGGTCCATGACATTGAAAATCAATAGAAATGGTCCTTGAGATTGATCAAACACATCACAAATGATCCTTCCGTTAAAAACTCTTTGGGCAATTTTCTAAGCTTCGTAACTCAATCGTATCTTAACCAAATCTGACCCATAATATATCAAAATGAAGATAGGAAAGTGTAGAACAAGATTATACCTATTTGGAAGTCTCATGGTTGCCGGAGATGGCCGGAAATAGCCTAAAATGTGACTGGTCAGCAGAAAAACTGGAAAACTCGTCGGAAACTGGGTAAACTTTAAATACCAAGGAACTATGAGTGACTTGATCCCTCAACGAGGGTACGTAGGCAATCTAGGGTTCTATCTAGGTGCAGTCACAAAATCAAATAAACACCCAAATCCCCAAGTTACGATATATTCATATTAGAATCAAAGGGTATTCCTTTCCCAAAAGAAGGGTTGTAATTAATTGGCGCGTAGCCTAGAATGGGTCGAACTCAAATCAATAAAACTCTTCGAAAAATGAAAAAGGGTGAAATTATGTCGAGTAAATTATTTGTTTACATATTGTGTACAATTTTTTGCTCAAATACTCAACGAAATTGAGTGTTTCAAAAATGAAAATCATACTTCTCGAGAATGGTACCTTTATTGACTAATAATTCACCGTGGTTTGGCCG